TTTCTGGAACGTCTTATTTCTGGAAGGATGCAACTGGATAAATCTGTGTGAAGAGAAAAGCTTCTCACTGTTTGACAACTCTGGCTTTTACTGAATTAGGGTTTCTAAAAGGGTACTTTTAGGGTAGCCATTTTCTTTTACTTCCATATTTTCTTTATTTCTGGAACGTATTATTTCTGGAAGGATGCAACTGGATAAATCTGTATAAAGAGAAAAGCTTCTCTCTGTGTGACAACTCTGGCTTTGACTGAATTAGGGTTTCTAAAAGGATACTTTTGGGGTAGCCATTTTCTTTTACTTCCATATTTTATTTATTTCTGGGAAATCTTACATCTGCATAAATCATTACACATTTAAAAAGGTTTAAAAAGATGCTTATAAACCTGTGGGATCCGGTACATAAATGCATACGATTAAAATTCGGTTTAAAAAAAGAAGAACTTGTTATTTTAAGACAAATGTATTTCTGAAAAACCAAGGTTTCAGATTCTGTCAAGTCGGTCCAAGACATGAACTTCCACCAGCCTTTTTCTAATGAGGTGATAGTGAATCTGTCAGTTAAGCTCTTTTTATGATAAAAACCATCTAATACTAACTGTAAAACCTGTTCTCATATTACATTTATTCTATAGAAAATACAATCCGGGTTTTACAGATTACAGATTAAAATAATCCATTAATGATCCGTTAAAACTAATTTCTATTTAGGTTGTTTGTGTGTTTTTCCTTTTTAATCTATTTTACAATATTATTTACACTTTCTACTGTACACTGATGACATTATTTATAATTTTGTCTATTTTGTGTTTATCCCTGAATAAACAGGTCACTGTCTCTTTACCAACCGGTGTGTATTATTCATATTTACCTGATTGTTATCAGAGTAAATCCCTGTTCAACATGAGTCTGACAACTAAGTAAGTAGATAAAATTATTATAAACTTTAATACATGCGTACATACATTTCATCTTCTGACCCAAACTGTCCTAGAAAAGCCTTGTCTCGAATCTCCCATTTTTGCTTCATATTGAGCGATTATTATTTTGATACTTCATAGTTTTCTGCCTCGTCTCAGAGTGAGTATTATTTTGTACTTAGAGAGATTATTATTTGGTACTTTGTTCATAGTTTTTCAGCCTTGATTCCAGCTATCCTTATTTGTTCCTTTCCTAGTCTATCTATCCTCATTATTGAGTGATTATTATTTATTGGTACTTTCGCTCTTTCCACTCCCAGTGAGTGAGTCTTTATTTCTATTCAATTTTATTGATTAGGATCTCCGTATCTGAGTCCAGCCTTAAGGAACCAGCCTGAAACAGCCCCTTGGTTCTGGTTTTACAGTTCAATTCAATTCAGTTCAATTTCATTTCTATAGCGCCACATCACAACAACAGTTGTCTCACAGCTTTCCAAACAGAGCAGGTCAGACCCTACTCTGAAATTAACTACAGAAACCCAACAGTTCCCAATTACAGGGGTCTTTTATTTACCTCTGAGAGGGGTTGAGGGCAATGGCCCGAGGCTGGTCCAGGTCCATCCAAAACAAGACCTTCCTGGAGGTGCCATCCAGGTTGGCCACCTCGATCCGATTGGTCTCCGAGTCCGTCCAGTAGAGCTTTTTTCCCAACCAATCACAGGCCAGTCCGTCGGGACTGTCCAATCCGGACACCACCACCGTCTGACCGGTTCCCAGGGCCTCTTTCAGAGCTGGAAACATGGAAAAAACACGGAAAATACTGTGAAATGTCCACTGATTCCTCCCCGTGTGGGTAAACTCTAAACCAGGGTGCTCGATACGTACAGTGGGGGAAATAAGTATTTGACCCCTTGCTGATTTTGCAGGTTTG